ACAGTCAGCAAGGGTTTGCTGATGTTCAGAGGGAGCGTCCTGTGCTTGTGCCCACTGCCTCTGGTCAGATCACTGTGCAACACAGAAAGCATGGCTCCATCCTCTTTGCACCTTCCCTTCAGTTAATTACACTTATTTGTAGGATTGATTACCCATGAACCTTCTACCCATGAGCTGAAGAGTCTCAGCTCCTTCATACTTTCCTCATACTTATTGCTCTTAATAATTTTTGTGATTTTCCTCTAGATTCTCTTCAACATACTAATTTCCCTTCTGTACTGAGGAGCCTAGACATGGGCATGGACCTGCAGGTGTGGCCTCACCAGTGCTGAAGAGAGGGGAAGAAACGCTTCCCACACCCTGATAGGAGTGCTTTATGTACTGTGATAATTTCAGCTGGAATTTGTTTGGTAAGGAATGATCCAAGGATCCAAGAGCTATTTTTGGAATATTTGATTGTTTGGTTTTTGGGATTTGTTTGTTCTATGAAAGTAAGCACACAAAGAGAAAATATTTTATTTAATTTGAAGTGATATTCAGGTAATACATGAATTTTTACAAGATATGGAGCAGAGACAGAAAGTCAACAGAAGAGAAACAAAATGACCTAACATGACTTAGGTATGAAGACATATGATTTTTTTAAGTCAGGAAAATCACAAGATGTGTTATTTTTGTAAGCACATTCCAGGAAAAAAAAAATAAAATGCTTTTCACACTATTTAATCACACTGGTATCCTATAGGGAAATGCACAAAAAATTAAAAACTCAAACTAATTGGATTTTTTTTTTAAATTTAAATTAGCTAAGCCTTGTAGCAACTAGCATGAGTTGAGGTTTCTTAAACATTTGTTAAAAAGGAATAGACAAAAACAGGGGAGTAATTTAAGGGTAAATGAACTATCCAGAGGACTTTGGGGAGGGGGAGGCTGTAAGCCACTGTGACAAGTGGTCTCCAGTTGTTTGGCACCATGGGAATCTTGGTGAGCTTGTCTCTACATAGTTGTATACCTGACCCCAAGAGAGACTCTAGACAAGCTCCCCAGCAGGAACAATCCCAGACTGACTTCTAGAAGATACTTAGTCTTCCCACAAACAATTAGGTCTTACACATTTACTACAATCATGGGAAGAAAACCCTGAAAAATTTTAATAAAGGGGAGAACTGAATTTTCAAAAAAATTACTATTTTTTTTAAAGTAACATGCTTAATAATCCTGCCACAGTTTTGAACTAAGTATATAAAAATTACTTCAGAAACATATCAAATATTATTTTTATTGCATTAAAATCCATCTACATTTATCAAAATACCTAATTGGAGCTTCCATCCAAAAGAGAAAGACTATGTCCCCCTGTTGTCCCAAATTAGTGCAAAATCCTCTTAATTGAATGAATCTTGATCCACAAAGTTTTTGACCTAAAGCTACAATAATATCCAGATACTTGATGATGTGTGGGACCTTAGAAAATATTTTTTTTAATTTATCTGCATATGCTTAGGCATGATAGTGAGTGCTTCTCACTATCATAAGAAATGTATCTGCCAGAACCATTTCACTGGGATAAATTTTAGTAAGGTGGCCCTTCCCATACAATTAAAGGTGTCCCAAACATATTTCAAGTAACAAATAGCTCATACCTAGTTTTCTGTGACATAATGGAAATTGTTCTGTCAATTATAATTAAAAGGCTGAGTACCATGGTGAAAGGTCACTCAGCCTTTGGCTAAATTGAATGACTTTCAAGAAGATGCTTTTAACACTATATAATACTACTACAATAAAACAATAGACTCTGGTGTCAAAGTACTAATTGTGTCCATCAGTATTCTGAATTACTTTTTATCTTTTTCTTCAGATTCAATCTTAAGAAACATAAATGCTATACTGAAAATTTTGAATTCAGTTCCCATAACCACAAAAAAAAAAAGGTGTCAGCCTCAAAAGTCATTCAAATGTTCAATTACTAGTATTCAGATTAAAACAAATTAAAAAGCTCTCAGCCATATATTATGCTGTATCTTGCCTGATAATGCATTTTAACAAAAGGAAAAATAAATCTTCTTAATTTTTATTTAAAATAGTCATGGATAAAGGTACACAGAAAAAGCTCCACATGAAACATCTTCATCACTAGAATTTAGGTGAAACTTACATAAATATTAAATAAATAAAGACTTTTATCTGAGAAACACTTTATTGTCCTTCCAAAATAGCATAAACATCTGCATTTACATATGCACTGGAACATTTAGGATTCGGGCAGGCATTAGAGAATGGCAAAGACAGTGACAAATACATTAAAATAAAAGACATGCTACAATATTCAATCAACTGCACCACAGTAAGAAATAAACAGTTATTTTAGATCTTTAATCCTCTTGCACTGCTTTCATTGCAGACAGACAGATATGAAAATAAAAAGCTGAGTTTTCAGAAACTGTTGTTTTACCTTTAGGTTATTGGTTATAGTAACAAAGCACTTATTGAATTAGCTTCAGTATTATTTTCCCAAAATAATATCTTCTATATTTAGTATAAATAATTCTTTCTATTAATATAATAGATCATTCCAGAGGCCTTCAAAACTATATCTTACCCAACATTCATAGAATGGTTATATTTGGAAAGGATCTTAAAGGTCATCCTATTCCAACCCCACCCCTGTCATCGACAAGAATGACATCCACTAGATCATGTAACTTGAAGCCCCATCCAACCTTGAAGATCCACAGCCCCTCTGGGTAACTTCTTCCAGTGACTCACCACTCTCATAGTAAAAAATTTCATCCCAACACCTGATCCAAACCTGACAGCTTTCCATTTAAAGGCATTGCCCCTCCTCCTGTCATTATATGCCCTCATCGAAAGTCCCTCTCCAGAGTACCTGCAGGCTCCCTTTAAGAACTGGAAGCCTTCTAGGAAATCTCCTCAGAGCCTTCTTCAGGCTAAACAATCACAAGTCTCTCAGCCTATCTTCACAGGACAGGAGCTCCAGCTGTGTGACCAGCTTAGTGGCCCTCCTCTGGGCTCAGTGCAACAGCTCTTCTTATGTTTGGGCTGGATGTAGTACTTTGTGGGGTCTCACAAGGACAGAGTAGAGGTCATCTCACTTGACCTGCTGGCCATGTTTCTTTCAATGAGGGCTGTGATATGGGTTCATTTTTTCATCAGCAAAACTATGTTTCTGTGTTATATTGATCTTCTCATCCACCACAACACCCAAAGTCCTTCTCCTCAGGGGTACTTGCAATCTATTCTTTACCCAGCCTGTACCAGTGTTTGAGATTTCCCTGACCACATGCTGGACCCATGCACTTGGCCTTGAACTTTGTGGGGCTTACATGGGCCCACCTCTCAAGGTCCCTTTGGATGGTGTCCCTTCCCTTCAGAGCATTGACCACACTACACAGGCTGGTGTCACCAGCAAACTTGCTGAGAGTGCGCTCAATCCCACTGCCCACGTCGCTGTCAGAAATGGTCAACAGCAACAGTGTCAACAGCAAGCCCTGAGGAACACCACACATCACTGGTCTCTACTATGGAGAGCTGTCAGCCATAACTGATAGAAACCAGTCAGCCAATTTCTTGTCTGCTGAGTGGTTTATCTGTTACATTCATGTCTCTCCAGTTCACAGACAAGAACATTCTGTGGGATAGTGTCAAAGATTTTGTACAAGTCCATGTAGAAAATATGTAGAATGTCCATTGCTCTTACCTTATCCACCTATGCTGTAAACATACAGCAGAGGATCTGCTTTGTGATCTTTCCAGATACCAAGGTGAGACTGACAGGAGTGACTGACCTGTAGTGCCCCAGGTCTTCCTTTTTTAACTTTTTAAAAATTGTGTGTTGTGTTTTCCCTTTTCTGGTCAGTAGGAACTTCACCAGTCTGCCACAACCTTTCCAATATTGTAGGTAGTACCTTGATAAGAGCCAATTTGGTTTTTGGTTATGTCTCAACATGTATTACACATGGCACAAAAAGCTGCCATTTCTAGAAAGCTTTTGAATACCTCCAAGTGGAGACACTTAACTATCTCTCTAGGTGTCCTGTGCTAGTACTTGGCTCACCTCACAGCAAAATATGTTTTCCAATTCATACAACATTATCATCTTTTTTCCAGGAAAAAAAAATTTGCAATCCTGAGTTGTATCACGCAGTTCAGAGATTCACTTAGGTTTTACTAACATTGACACTGAAGTATCTCAAGATAAATCAAGAGGTAGCATGAAATTTTTCATCTAATTAAGTCAATTGTAGCTCCTCATTGGATTTCAAAAGGGTGAAGAATTATACTGATAGTCTGATTTCTAGAAAATCTTACAGCATTGGGCAAACAATGAAAACATTATGAATAAATAGACACAGATGGCTTTTATTTAAATTAAACAATATAGGTATTTCTCAGCTAAGCAATGCAACAGCTTCTGGCTTCTATATACTTATATATAACTTTGATGGACTTTTAGAGCCAAAAAACATAGAAATGACATTTTTCCTTAAATAAAAGTAGTATTTGTTTGAAAATCTATGCTAACATTAATGATTCAGGTAAATAATGTCAATGTTTTTTCTCTAGAGTCAAGTTGCAATAGAAAGAGATTAAGTATCTTACACATTTGAATTTTTAGAACCTTAATGTTATTAATTACCTATTATAATGAAAAAATCATGAGGGTCTAGGAGAAACTGTCTCAGGAACGCCATACTGATAACTTCTAGTACAACTTTTTTTATATGTGCCTTGTGATTTACTTGATAGCCTTACTTATAATGGAGACACTTTAGAGAAGAAGAATAAATGGTTCTTTATTCACTTTTAAAAACTTATTTGCAATCCAGAAAATGCTAGTTCATTTTACTATCTGGCTATATAATAACTTTAAACAGCACTATACAGCTAGATCTAGTCTGACTATATTTTATTTGAAATCTGCTGGATTCTTGTCCAACAAAGTAGCTTCAAATTATTTCTTCAAATTTGTAACCCATTCATTTAAAGAAAAAAAAAGGTGTGAAAGAACACCTTATCCATCAGGAATATGTGAAGGTCTAGCTGTATAATAGAGAAGGTAACCTATGGCTTTGACAAATTTATTTATTCACAATTTGTACATAAGCCCCCATTATCTAAAGTTATTATATGTTGGATATTATTTCAGCCCTATTCAACACTTTCTGGAGTAGTTACAAGTCTGGAAAAGTATTATTTTATGGCAGAGATCTTTGGTGGGTCAGATATTAATTAGAGAAGTAAAGAAATTCATACTGAAATAACACTGTGCCATTTTGACCCATCTTCATTGTACTGCAACATCGAGGTAGCCTTTTGAGACACACTCAGTACTATGCTTGCCACAAATTATTGAACATTCTCTTGAAGAGACAATCCAGTGAGATATAAATATCTTTTTTTTTCCTTATGAATTTGATGGTGTGCCTCCACCCTGGCCTGACCTTTATTTCCCACAACCCTGCTCAAGTAACCACCAGCAGCTGTTGTAATTGGGTGCAGATGGTCATAGTGGTTTCATGGGATTCCAAGTAGATCTGTGAGACAGATAATGCAATAGTCAAGAGCTGTTCTAGGCAGTTCACCCAGCCAAAGCCCTGGTCAAGGCTGATCCAAGGTATGGAATAAACTGATATCTGCAGTCAACATGCAAATATGACCATAAATTAATTAAGTCTGTAAATAGTGGACCAGCCAGGGCCTGTTGAGTCTCTGGCATAGAAGTGGGCTGCACATCAGGATCTCCCCTTGAGAAAGGATATATCTTATTGTTACTGTTTGAGGATGAGAGATCTTATTGCTGACATACTAGGAAGTGAACTGGAATGAATACACTCAATTTTGAAATCTTAGCTCAAAGGATTGATTATGACATAAAGAGTCTGGGACTAAGTATGGATCCAGACACATATAAACTACCCTCTGAGAAGGTGTAAGGGATGCCTTTCTGAACCTCATGGCTCTACAGGAGGGTGTCCCTGAGAGGTTTGCCTAATTCTGCCCTCTAAGCAGGAACTATAATTGAGAATAACTTGACCATCTAATCCTATTAAATGGCTGTCATATTCTCTATTCAACCTGGTTAAATTGCTGGTTTATATCAATAAACATGCAACTTCCCTGTTTCAAGTGAAGTGGGTCTCTCCATCCCCAACAAAGAAGCAACATTTTTAAGGCCGTATAGCACAGACACTTTACACTTACTCAAAGTTGGGAAGAGAACAGAAAGCTAGTCAGAGAAGGAACACAGAAAAGAAGCTCTTTAAGGAGAACAATAAGTACCTAGTATTATAACTGTTCCTTTGTTTTCATTCATTTCTCAGCATATGAACTTGCAGTAGATGACAATTTTTTTGTGTCTGAGAGACAGACAATGGATTGTACTCAAAGCTAGATGCAAAAACTCATTCAGGTGTCTCCAGCAGTAAGAGAAATAAAGTGATGGATGCTGATAAAAACCCTCAAACAAAGGAAAACTCATAATCTTTTAGGAGGTTTTTAGGGCTGGGTTTTTTGAAGCTGTTTTTTTTTAAGCTATGGATGAATGATTTTTTTTAGGTTTTAAAAACATAATTTTAATAAGACAAATGAAGTACTTTTAGTGAAGAGTGTAAGTAACTCAAACTACTACTTGTGCTCAGTTCACATCAGAAGAGAGAAAGCAAGTCAAATTATACTCAAACCATCTAACTATAAAAACACCCTGGAAACTGAAGTAGAAATAGTGTTATAGAAGTTACTGAAATAATCACTGTCAACATACAAATAACTCAAAATACAGTTCTAGATATATATAAGCTAAAAAGTAAAATCTGGTTGGAGGTAACACCTTATTAGAAACTTGATCACTGAAAACCGTATCCAGACGTATTTCTGAACTGTAGCTTCAAATCAAAAACCTTCATCTATTACCTTTTGTCTATATTTCTCAAAACACCCAGTTTCAGAAAGCAAAAAAAAGCATCCTGTGTCAGAATAATCGTTGACTCTCCCATCTTCCCCTGTTTCTTTCCCATTGGATTATAACATTCATCTAGATAAGGAAAAGCTCCTCAAGTTTGAGCAGATTCTGTACCTCTCTCAAGGCATACAAATTCCAGATATATTCAGAAATTAGGAGCTGTTCATTCTAAACCTTCTGGGAACTTCTGTATGTAAGGCATGTACGTGTTTCGAGTACCTTTGACACAGGTTATAAAACATTCATCATGTTGAAGCTATCTATGCCCAATAGATTCAAAGTTCAGGGAATATAAGAACTTCAATGAGCACTGCAGCTTCAAAGCTGAGTTTAACTAGTTATTTATTAACCCAGATTGATGGATGAGGTAAAAATGAACAAAACCCTAATTATCTTCCACTGTATCTCCTGTTATGAATGAGAGAACTTCTCCACACTCACATGACTGTCGCTTCCCAGTGGGATCTGCTTCTGATTTGGAAAGGGCTGCCATCCAGGCAGCGGCCAACAGAAGGAACCTCCAAGGCAGACAAACTCACTCACTGAATTTTGAGTAGGGTCCCAGCAGAGAGGACAAAAAATTCCAACCACTGTCATCTTCTGCCTGGAAGTGAGAGCCACAGGGTGTTAGAAGCTTGCTGTAATTGCTGCAGGTATGTTCTTTTGGAGGAAGGTGGTGCTGGCAGTCTTAGGACACATAAGAAGCAGAGATAAAGGATAAATGCTAGATTCTAAATATTAGAATATTCCCTAACTATTAGGGAAGCTTTTCTGAATCGTATCATTCTAATCATTTAATCTTTAAAACATCAAAAGCACTGACATTTGCTGGCTCTGTACATGCATATGTATACATACACATGTATGGACCTTTTGTCCACAGCAATGGACACAGTGTTCCATTTTTACACAGCTTTTATACACAGCTCAGATAAACCATCTGTGTACAGACTGGCCATCCACATCTCCCTGTGAATAAGTACCAGACTTTTCCCTTGTCTATTTATCATTAGTCCCATTACAAGAAGTCTAGACACTTAAATAAGCTGTAGAAGTTTCAGGCAACTAATGGTTCTCTGTCCCCCGGGCATTTGGCACCTTCTTCTGTTTAGTTTAGTTCCCAGTTCCTTCTGCAGATACTTTTCATAGCACACAAAGAGAGCACAACAACAAAGGAAACTGAGGTGCAGTAAGACAAAACTGATGAATAGTATGAAAACTTCAAGAGATGTGAATCACTGGGACCAGAGTGTAGCCATCTGAGAGTTATTACAGAACTAAAATTCAAAGTATCAGCATCATGGGTGAGCTACGCCTTTTTAAAATACAGCTTCTTCTCCATGTACTGAAGTCCCTCATGGATTTCTGTCTATAAAAGCAAAGCCAAAGAAAGAAACATGAATTAGAGGTAGGACAGTTTCTACAAAATTCCCTGGAAACCCAGTGCTTGATTTAAAGTCAAAGTAAGGTTGCTCCAGTTTTGTGTTCAGATTTTTGCTTTTCTTTCAGCTAAAACACTTGAGGACACAAAGCATGGCATAACTACAAATTAGGTAACTATGTGAAATATGCAGCATGTATATGGGATTTTGTGATTTTAGTAGCATGTGCACCTTACCTAAGTTTTGCTATTGTCAGATTTATAATAATTATTTTACATCTAGTCCTGACTACTTCTTTTATGTCATAATTAATTTCCACATACAAGTTTTCATTTGAACTTACCTTTAGGATCAAAAAGAATTGAATATTGACCTGTAAAGCCTTCATATTTGTAGGTCTTTCACAAGAAAGAACCTTCCCATTCTTAAGGATTTGGCAATGGGGAAAAAATATAATAATGAATTACAAATTACAGTTTAAAAATAAAGTCAGTGTAAAACATGTGGGTACCCGATGACTCTAGAGTTTGTATAAGCACAAGTTACCTCTAGGCTGTAGGAGCTTTAACAAGGGTTAAAAAACACTAAGAGATCAAGATACCTAACATGTTTCTATGTCTATAAGCTGTGTAACTTTTAGAATGATATACATACTTGCCTAACTATACTTACATAAACACACGGTAGTTACATTTTTTAAAAAGTGAGTTAGAGGCAAGCGCAGTTGTACAAAGTCAGATTTCTTGAAATCTGAATGTAACAATCTAAATGTATACATGTATAAATGTATTTTCTGGCAGCTACTTTAGTTTTAGAGGTTAAAATGTATTTTAGAACATCTGAAAAATCTATTTAATGAACTGACTGCAGTTTCTGTAACAAATTATTGGGTTTTTAACATACACATATTCATTGGAGATGTTTAAATACAAGTCACCTGTTGGACATAATTTATTTGAATTTTTGTTGACACAACACTGGACTCTTAATTTTGGCTTCATTTAATCGTCTATTAAGATTCGCCTTCCTCTCCTTCATCTGATTTTGGTTTCTTGGGAGGTTTTTTGTTGTTGTTGGTTTTAAGGCCACCAGTCCAAGACAAAGTTATTTACACTAACAAACAGAAAAGGTTATTCTGGTAATTAAGACAAACATTCATTTTTAAGAGAGTTTTTGCTCTTACCTGAACCAGTGATTTTTCACAGTCTTAGGATAAGCATATATTCTTTTCTAGCATAGGAAGAAGAAAGAAATTGAAATGGGTGAGAAGATCCATTGACTGTTGGCTCAGGCATTTTAAGTGCTTTTTTCTTTGAGTGAGAACTAATATCAGACAGATTTGAGGCTAAAGAGAAAGAAAAGAGAAGGAAGGGGCAATTAGGAAAGAAGAAAGAGGAAATAGAAGGCAAGGAAAAGCAGAGGCACGAAAGAGACTGAAGCTCATTGGAAAGTGTTTCCACAGCTTATAGTAGGCTGAATTGAAAAGGAGTTGTCTGCCTTGTCAAAGAGACAGTAACTCATTCTGCCAGGGGCAGTGGTTTGTTCTTGCTGGCTCATTTTTGCAGCAAATTGGCTTGATAATTCACATTACATTTTCTTACAGATTATAGTGAGAGTGTAGTGAACATGAAAAAATAGAATGTATACTGCCCACTGAAAAACACACCATAAGAAGTGTATTATTCTATACCACTGACCATCCAAAGACATACAAATAAGCTCTTTCCTCATGGACTGTTCTCCATCTTTGATATTTCTCCTCAAAACCAACCAAAAATGCATCCTTCTATCAAGCTGAAGTGTAAGTCTCCAAAAACCTCGCTCAGCAAGACTTTTTAAAGGGCTTAGGTGTGTTTACGTTAGACACATGGGAGAAACACCAAGAAGATATTCTGAAGAGGTCAAAACAAGAAAAACTCTACTGAAAATTTTAGAAAAACAAAGACCCGTGACAAAAGGGTTGCTGCAACAGTCAATCAACACAGAGCACTTCTCAAAGCATTACCTTGACCCATTTAGCAAACTCTAAGTGCATTCAACTTTAAGTCATTTAAAAGTTCTGAGAAAAGGAAATTAGAAAAAGAGAGACACAAAAGGTATAGAATAGAACACACATAGTTACCAGCTCTGGGTTTTTAGAGCATTCAGCAGGTAGGAAATTACAAGAGAAAATAGGGTCAAGACACAGACTTACCTCATGCTCAGCTCTAAATACCCCTTGGCCTTTCTGGACCCTTCCCCCAGGTGGGATTTCTGGTCATTTGGCCACTCAGGAGCTGGGATAGGAGCTCCTGGGGCAGGTGTGGAGCATTACCTCTGGTGTGCCAGGAGTTGTTGGGCTGGGATACAGGCTCTAGGGATGGGGGTGTGGCGTAGGGCACTTTCTCACCAAAACAACCTGACCCTTCTCCCACACACATGCACCCCAAAATGTCTTGAGACATCAATAGCTCCAGCCTCTCATATGAGGGAATTTGTATCTATACCTAATGTCCTAAACAGGCACTGAATCCTGGGATTTTTAATTTCTCAGGTGAAGCAAATTATTAAAACCAACATGTGTTTGGGAATGGTCAAACAGCTAATGTAATGTAACAGCTGCATTTTGGCTATCCTTTTATCACCCTAGGAAAGAAGTTTACAAAAAAGTAATAAATGTCAGACATATATTTATGCATCAAAGCCAGAAACCTTTGACAAACATTTTAAAAAAACCAAACATTATTTTTATTTATCTAATCAAAATGAGAAGATAATAGGAATTGTTGGGTATTTTTATGGCAATCTTTGAGGGTAATTAAATTCACTTTTGCTGAATTTTCTCTTTTTAAATTATTACTAAGCAATGCATTTAACAGTGTTACCACTGTAAAATGTTCTTCAAGGAGTCTAAAAAGATGTACCATAAGCTGGATCTCTTCTCTCTCTATACTTGCACCAGCACAAACCCTGTGAGCATCAAAGAGATACCTTAGCCTGGCTTTGAGTCCATCCCCCAGCCAAGATCTGCTATCCAAATATGACATGAGCACATTGCCTTTGAACAAATAGTTATTCAGACATCAGTTAAATTTATAGCAACCACAGAAGCAATGTAGTCCTTTGCATTACAAAAATAAAAGGACTTTTTACCTATTATCTTAAGTACTACCTCTTCTAAGGATAGCACTTTAAAAAGCCAGTGAGATTTGAAATACTAGTAAAAGAAAATCTTTATTTTAAATGTAGTGTATTGCAAGTAAAAGTTGCAAAGCCATGGGGGGAAATAATGTCACTAGTTCTAATAAATAGCTAGGATATTCTTTTGCATTTGTTAATTTTTGTCATCATGAATAGAAAATAATGATAAATTAGTAAATAATGGGAAAACTGGTCAATTTAGAGATTGCTCTGGAATTGGAGATAAACTAAATGATGAGAACAAAAGTATTTTCTTAGTTCTGCTTACAGACCTTTTTGCATGATACACTTGTTTAGTTAGCACAGTCAGAGTTAAAGATGGTGCAGCTGAACTCTTTTCTGCCTTTGACTGCCTGCCTATTTTTCATTAGAAACTTAATATCATCTATTACAATTATGATTTTGTTGGGGGTTATTTTCCTGAATTATTATGACATAATAACTAAATTTAGCTAAATTTTCAGAAAGCAAGCTAGCCCTTTGAAGTACTATAGATGAATTATGCTTATTTTACAGCCTAGGTCCATATCAATATATTCCTCTATATTTCCCCAGACAGATATGTAGTCATTCTTCTTTCTGGTTAAAAAATTCTATTCAGAGACAAGTGTTTCAATAGCCACTAAATTATTTTTAAAAATTTATTGGAGCATTAGTTGTATCAGCTTCTTCTTTTAAGTTTGTAAATAGAAGTTTGCTTTCCCAAAGGTCTATTTTTACATTAATATATTTCAGACCAAAAAAAAAAATGAGACAGAATACTGTTCTGCACCTTTGAGTTGGTGGTTTAAATAAAGGATAAATTTATGCCTGTCTTTGAAAGGCTTCATACTGTGGTGCTGGGAAAAGTATTGTGAACCTCTGAAAACCAGCACCCATCTGAGATTACTGTAGGTCATTAGCACCATTTGGGTCACATCAGGATTGAGCTACAGATGTTTTAAATACTGTCACTTTTTGTCATTTATATTTTAATGGCCAGACACTGCTGATGCATTTTGATGCTAGAGGGTGAGAAAGTCTATTTTGAAATACCGGCTATGTAAAGTTGAAAAGCCTCCCCCAGCACACTATGCACACTCAGACAGCAGGGGACTTTATCAGAGAGGTGTTGAATTAAGCCTGGTTAACTCAGATGAAAGAACCGATCTCTTGAACAGGATGAACACAATTTGTGCTACCAGATTTCCCTCATATACCTCAGCACTCCACTGATTTAAAGAGGATGTTAAATTAAAGCTATAGCATAGCAGCAGGGAGATGGTTCCAGCAGAGATGGCATTAAAATTAGCTTTCTTATAGCAAAAGCTGTTGCATAAGAGACTGAGAGGGCAGGGGAGGATGAGGTTGAGGCTGTGTTTAGTTCTATGACATTAGCAATATCTCTGAAATTTATGAAGATGATAACAATGTTTCAATAAAGTTTTAATCGGTAGTCTAAGTTAAAATAGGAAAATTTTACTGCTGCTACAATGAATAACATAATATTAGAAAAAGGAAAAAAATCAAATGGGGTGTTGATTCTGATCTCAATAGTACCTGGCAGTGCTATTGGTATACTTTGCTGTTATGAGTGTCAGCTCCTTCTAATCCTTCTGACTTTTTCTAAACTGTGAGATTTTTTTTCTCCATAAGGAGGTCTATGTGCAATTCCCCCTGTTAGGCAGGCATCTAAGAAACTTGTTGGATGATAGCAATCCATTTTTGAGAGTTTCTTTTTCCATACTTGAATGTTGCTTTCAGGGCTAAGTAGATTCTTGTGGGGAATAGTGTGCACACATACTCTGTTCTGGTATGTAACTGTCATATAACCTCATCTGCTCATTCAGTTTATGGAACTAATATAAAGACAAATATATTATATTTAGTTTAGACTACGCTAAGTTTACAACTCATCTGAATTCAAGAGTACTTCCTATTTATGGACAGAGCCCACTTCAGTTCCCAGTATCACAGAATCAGAGAGTAATAGAATCACAGAATTACAAACTCACAGAGTGTTTGAAGTTGTAAAAACCTTTAGAGCACATTTAGTCCAGCTCCCCCTGCTCAAACAGAATCACCTACAGCTGGGTGCCCTGGACCATGTTAGGGTGTCCTGGACCATATCCAGATGGTTTTTGAATATTTCCAAGGAGGGACATTCCACAACATCTCTGGGCAACTTTTCCTAGGGCATGGTCACCCTTACAGTAAGGTACCTTGATGTTCAGAGGAAACACCCTTGAAAACAAATTAGATTCTATTGCCTTTGCACCTTCGTTCAGTTAATTGGATAAATTTATGAGATTTCCCATGGTCCTTCTCTTTTCTGAACTAAAAATCTCAGATCTCTCATTTTTTCCTCATATTGGACCTATCTATCCATTAATCTTCATTGTAACCCCATCAGACCATCAATGTCTAATTAATATTTCAGGTAACAAACTAAATTCAGAAGCAGTATGTTTGTGAATTATACCCATTAGAAGAAACATTTAAAAATTTGGTCCGATGAGAAAGGTTGACAATGGAAAAGAAACTCAAAAGCTCTCATTTCCTTTAACTTTATTTTTGAGACTTCCTGAAATGCATACATATGGTTTAGGATAAAAACAGTCCTTCTCACTTCTTAAATTAACATATTTTGTGTTAAAAAATTACAGTTTTTGAAATGAAAACCTACTCTTAAATCTGAAGTTATGAAGTCTTACAGAGGAATCTACAGCAGACAGCTTAAAGGTTTAGTGGAAGGATGGTCCACACAATGAACTCCTCCTTTGTTTTCAACATTGTTGATAATTTCAACAGTGCACCATTACTAGATGAAGAAAATACTGTTTTTCACCAAATAGAGTTATAGAAGGAGCTTGACTTATTACTATTAAAATCTGTTTCCTGCATAACTCACAATTAATTAATAACTCCTTATTACTCAATGCTTTAGTCTCATATAGTCCTTAGTATCTCAAATCTTTCTCTAAAAATATTAATTCTGTCTTTACTGATATATATGCATCTTTACTGATATCTATACCGATAAATATGCATTCATTAGGAAGAAATATTTTTTGTTTTCTTTCTCCACAGGATGAAGTTTCGTCACTAAGAAATGTCTATAATTTTTTTGAGAAGTTCTTAAGATGTGTTAGAATCACTGAAAACTCAAAATCATTTTAATTTCCCAGGTATAAAGTACATTTTAAGTTATGTATATCTTCCTTATACTGTTTTCAAGGCACTGTGAGAATGTTAATATTTCTTTCTTCATTTGGGAATTAGAGAAAAGTTTTATTATTTCAGAGAGGCATTAAAACTTCTGAGAGTTGTTATAGCGATATCTCTGACACAGACATGAGTGGTAATATACTCCAGTTCTAACTCCACTGCCTATGAAGATAAAGAATTTTTTACAGTTTAATGTTCTATACAAAAAAAAAAAATCCTTATTATTTAATATTTTATTGTAGTTGCAAATATGTTAAGTCCTTGTCATGGTTTAACATCACTGGCAACAAAGCACCATCACTCACTCCTCCCACACTAGAGTGGGGGAGGGAATGGGAAAAGTAAAAGTGAGAAAACTCATGGGTTGAGATTAATAGGTGAATCAAAAGCTGTGCACTCAAGCAAAGCAAAACAAGGAATTCATTCACTGCTTCCCAGGGGCAGGCAGGTGTTCAGTCATCTCCAGGAAAGCAGGGCTCCATCACATGTAATGGTTTTTCAGGAAGACAAATGCCATCACTCTGAATGTCCTTCCCTTCCTTCTTCACCCAGGTTTCTATGCAGAGCATGATTTCACAGGGTATGGAATATGCCTTTGGTCAGTTGGGATCAGCTGTCCCTGTTGTATCCCCTCCCAGCCTTGTGCTCTCTCAGCCTCTTGCTTGTGGGTTGGATAAGAAGCAGATATGAGACCTTGGCTCTGTGTGAGCATTGCTCAGCAACAAGAAAAATATACCTATATTATCAACACAGCAAAAGTCCAAAACATAGCCCTATACC